CGCCGAAATGCGGATTTATATGGATTTTCCCACGCCGGTCGGGCGGCGCAGCCGCGCCGCGCACGCGTGAGGCACGAGCGCGCCAATCCGAGTTCGACGCTCGATCTCACGCGATGCACCGATCGATTTCACGCAACCAAAAGGACCAACGAGATTTTGCTCGTCTTACAATATCACGACAGATTCGAAAACACCCGCGGTTCCGCGTTCGCGCCACGTCTCGTCTTCCGCTCGTACGTTTGTTATCTGTCCACTCGCGTCTGCCGTATCTCGTATTATGATTTCGGACATCGCGTACGTTGCGACATGAAAAAAAAAAAAAGAAAAGGAAAAACACGAACGTTGCGCAGAACGAACGAGACCATAACTGACGTAAAATAACACCGGCGATCACGCTGATATTACGTATAGGAAACATCTACTGACGTAAGTCACGCGAAATGCAATCAATGCCGGAGGTAATTTCGAGGAAAATAATCATTATTTGTCTCTCCTTTGAGAAGCAAAACTAGTCGGTTTGTCAGCAAAAAAAGCAAAAAGCAAAAGTTGGCTTGGCTCACGTTGCGTGATGAATAAATTGTGTACACGTTTTTTCTCACCTATGACTATATAGCTTAATATAACTTAACAGAAAATTATGAGTTCTTCGAAAAAAACAAACTAACCGTGAAAAAAACATCTATTTCATACGGTTGATGCGTAAGCATTATGATCGACCAATTCAGCAAAATCCTAAAAGTTATATAAAACGACAATTAAATATAATTTTCAGCAAACTTGAAAACAAAATATAAGCAAAAAAATGAGCTCGATCACACTAAGGAGTTTCAAAATAATAATTTTATGATTATTGATAATTTTTTTCAATGATTCTCAACCTGATCGATGAATTTGCTTACTGTCAAGTCTTTTTGAATAGACAACACACAGATAAATTCAAGGCATTGCATAATAGGGTTTTAGGCGCCAATTATTTTTCTTTATTTTTAAATTTACTCATACAACACAAATCTTGCAGCTATACTGGAGCAACATTGTTGCAACAACTACATGTGGTTTACTCACATATTAATATCGTTGCAGCCAGTATCTTATCACCCGCTAATACATTGTTAACAATAAATCCCCATGAGAAAGTTTTATTACGAAGAATATTATCTCAGCCAGGAATCGAACCCGGAACATCCGCCTTCCGGACGGGTGCCGTTTTGTTTTACATTTCCCAGCTTTACTCTTTCCAATTTCTCGCACACGATTCCGTCTAATTTCGGGCGACGTTGAACGACCAAATTAACCGAGCGGGAAGAATACTCGGGGAGCAACGTAAAGTACAATGCGCAAAATCGGAAAAGTCAGAGAAAGGGAAAGAAAGAGAAAGAGTCTCCGTTTTCGTGACTCTCGCTTGTAAAACGCGAAACATGCGGGGAATGCACGCTCGCCCGTCCGCTCACGAGGAGCCGCTTGATCCTAAATACATATAGGCGCGACAAAATGTATACGCGAGGCATTAGCACGGCCTTACATCCAGGTCGTGCCGTCTGGAATGCGCTTTCTGAATAATTTCCGATTTACGCACACGCGCACACGGAGCATACTCGGTACTCTTGCACGAAGAGATGCCCAATTCATTTCATTCAACCCATACATACGCACGCGCGCGCGCGCGCGCGCGCGGACACGTTATAATGCAGAATGAATACATAGCGTACATACACAGTGCCACCGACCCCCCCCCCCCACACACACACACACAAAACTAGCGCGATAGGCGTACGTACCTATTGTAGACTGGAGTTACACCTTTCGCCAATTTTCCAGACTCGTCTTGCGAACGACGTTGCGGCGCCGCGTCGACCCTTGTCGTCGTCGTAATCGTCCTGTTTTCCCGTTCCTCGGACACGCGGATTCGAGCCTCAAACTCGGAGCTATCAAACGTCAAAACGAATCAAGCCTCGATTCGTGCCGCGAGCCGGCGTATTTGACGTGGGCAAGGCCACTTCCTATTGGAGCACGAGCCACACCGGGCGTCCGGTAGCACCGGCGCCTTCTGATACACGAGTGAAATCGATAGATAAACAAACGGAAAAGAGAGAGACGGAGAGGGGCGGAGATGGGAGGGCGAGAAACCAGGTACCCTCGTCGTTCTGTCGTCGGCCGATGTAGTCGCGTGACTCACGATCGCGCTCTCGATCTCTATCTCTCAATGTGATTCCTACCGAACCTATCCTTCCTCGCGCGGCACCTTCCGGGTTCCACCGACGAGAAATCGTCCCGTCTCTCCGCGTCTCTCTTTTCCTCTATACGTATATACGTATGTACACCTCGAAGAGGAGCCGTCGTCGTCGTCACCGCCGCTCGTCGCCGTCGTTCTTATCGTTGTAAAAGTCCTCGTCGCCGTGCCTGATCAATCTACCATCCCAGTTAACACCACGAAGACAAGCCGCGCTGTGCCGCGCGAGGACTGCCGCCCGTCGTCTTGTATCGCTGCGCCGCGCGCATCCCCCTCCTCTCGCCCTCTAACGCTCGCACCTCGCACACCCGCGCAACGGAATCGCCGACTGTCGCGTACGCGCGCCGATCGTACACATGGCGACATCTGCCTCCCGCGAGGCCCCTGTCGTTCCTGCCTCGCGCCTGCCATCCCCCGTCCCCGAGGATAAGGCAGCGACGTATCGACGATTCACCACCAGCGGCCGTGGAGCGGAGCGTCGGCCGTCGAGCTCGCTGCTCGAGTAATCTGACGCGTTTGTTGCTTGTTTATGTCGCTGAATCCGCGTGGAAGCTAACATGACAGGCAAGCAGAATCAGCTGGATGACAACGAGGACAATCAGTCGCGAAGAAAATTGATAGCGGACAAACGTAGACTCTTGGAGGAGAAGTCCGCCCAGGTATGGCACTCGATTCTTCTCTGTTTCGCTCCCCTCACCTCGCTCACCTCTTGTATACAAACTACTGGAGCCTGCAATATTTCTGTCATGTTTTTTCGCTTCAATCTGCGTTTTGTATCGTTTTTTTGAGAAGAAAAATTAATAGAAAAATAATGCAAATTTTTTTTATAGTGACTGTTATTGATACAGAAATTAGAAAAAGGTGGTAAAATAAACAGTAGTAATAAATAATACGTAGTATGAAAAATGAACGCATTTTTTCATTTATCGATGTCTTTATTATCTTTAATCTCGGCTTAATTTAGTCTTTATTTTCTTTTAATTCTTAGAAATTGAAAATAAAAGTAAATCAAGTTTAATTTACATTAACAAAAACATTAACAAAAATAGACATACAAATCCTTAAACATTGATGCATTTCATACATAATTTATGATATGTAAAAAGCATGATAAATAAATTTTTTAATAAAATTGATAAAATTCTAGAATGAAGTATCGATACAATAAATATTATAAAATACTTTTTATTTTTAGTCATAGAATCATTACAAAAGAGAAATGCGATTTGCAGATTGAGACTGAAATCAGAAGCTGTTTTGAAGATCTAACAAAAATCCTGCGATCTAGGGAGAAACAACTGCTGCGTCAAGCTGAGGCCATTCACAAACAACAACTTTCATTGATAGAGACTTCATTAGATTTTCTGCCATCGTCGTTAGCAGTTTTTAAAGATAGAAATGAGTTAGAGGAAAAAATTCGTCAGTTTGGTAATATTGAGACACATGGGTCAAACAGTATTACAGTAAAAGATGCAGAGCCATATAAAGTCGTAGACTATCAAGATGCCAATAAGGACCATGTCAGCTTTGACAAATCCATCACAAAGAAATCAGATCAAAAAGTCAGAAAGCTGAGCCTTCCACGTTACAAGGATTTCATATCTGATTACAGAACTGTGCGTATTTCAAGCTTGCCTTCCACTTTTCTTACTGATAAGCAGTTGCAAGACTCGCGAAATATAAAGACTAATACATTGAAAATTTTCAAAGATACATTATCCATATCAGGATGCTCACCACTTTTAATTATAAAACGTAAACTTGGTCTGACGCATGTATCTCTGGATGGACTGCACGCCTTTGATAAGGCGTATTCGCGAAACATGCAGTCCTTCGAATTGCCTTGTAAAACCACAAAATCCTGCGAGCTAGAGGACTCGACGAATGAAACGACTGAGGCTAATCGAAGAGAACTCGATAAGAAAGTCTCGAATCAGAACGATGAGTTCGGATATTCAAAGAAACGAGAGAAAAGCTACGAACATCCGATCCAAGTACAGCAATGGTTGCAGCAGATACTCGCAGAGACTGAGATAGAGCCTGCGATTCACGAAATCGGGCAATTTTCAGAGATATCCAAAGCAAAGCTCTGTAATGAATTATAATTCTATTCGTTAACCGGATTAGATATTGCGTTTATCGATTGGGGCCAAAGTTTCCAAAATGGAAAACAAACTGAAAAGGCTGATTTACCTTAGAATTACATGCCCGATATCTTTTTATTTATACAATCTCTTGTAAAATAGATTGAAAGGAGACTCTTTATATTGTAGCTTTTCTGTAATCATGGGGAAACGTAAGAAAGGATACCGAACTTGAACGACAAAGAGAGAAAGAGAAGAGAGAGTAAAAGATTTATTGTGTACATCGATAAACTTTAGTACCTCTGCCACAAATGCTTAGTGTGGTATTCCTTGTTCATACAACGAATACTTCGCCGTTCTTGAGATATTAAAATAAATTGGTTAGTGCCCTTTCGAAAAATGTGCTTAAAAATCCGAATTTAATTGATAAGACTGTTTTTATTATTCTACGGAAAATATCGCGTATTTATTTGATCGTATATAAGTTTTTAGTTTATACGGAGCTTGCTGTGTGCTTGTTGGTCGTTAAATTTTGACAAGAAAATAAACGAATAATCTTATTGCGATAGTTTCTTCAAGTGATATCTTTTTTATGAATAAATTCTTGATTGTATAATTGTAAATAATTAACCAGTTTAATTCATCACCATATCATAATATTCCAACTCTTTCTCTCCGCTTACATGACTAAATTGTGCGTATGTATATAATTGTAGATTTTGTAACCAATTAATTCATTAAATGTTCCACGTTTTGAAGATATGATTCAAATTCAACCAACTATTTAGTATTGAACAGAAGCAATCTAGAATTATTATTTTTTACATATTTTATCATTATTTACTGATGTTAAACAGATATCATGTTAAATGCTTTTTTATCATATCTAATACTGCGAGAAAATAATGTCCTTAATAAATTAATATTGTTAAAATAGTTTACACTATAGGAATTAGGATACAATTAGAAATATCCATCATTATTTTAATCGATTCACACTTGTATGTTCACACATGATTTTTATAAATCATTTTTTCAACCCTAAACTGTATAAAATTTATGCTCCTCAATATTAAAACGGTTAAAAAAATTATAATAATTTCATCAAATTAGTGAATTTCTCAACACATTTATTTTAAATAACATTCTTTTTTCGTTAATATTCAAGAAATTTATTAGATTAACACGAAAATTTTTTTATTATATGATTAATTTGTATTACGATTATATAACGATTGTTTTATATTGTATCATTAATAAAATGTTTTATACTGTTTAGGGTTAATTGAACCCATGTTCATATTTTAGCAATTATTCAAATTAGAGGAAAAAGTTTGCTAGAAAAATAATTTATCCCGATAAAATTTTATCCTTACATTGAATCTTATAAAATACAGAATATATTTATATACATATATATGCGATATTATATCAGTATATTATATCGACATATACATGTCAATATACACGTTATCACGGATAAAATTATTTAACAGAAAAAAGCTATAAGATAACATGCACTCAGCTGCGTTCTATCATTGCTGTTAATTCTATACCGATCAAAAATATAAGAAAAAAATATTTTCTTATAAAAACGTACATATCTTTTCTCTATCGCCATCTATTATTTTTTAGATTCATCTTCCAACGCTGATATCAAAACAAATCTTGAAAATCTAACGAGAAAGAAAACAGCACAATCAATTCTTGTAACAAAATGAATTAATAATAGTTTGATTCATCTCAATCAGGAACTAATTTCATTAATTAATAAAGCTAGAACTAGGAAGTAGAGCTTGGGTCATAAGACAGGCAGCAGACTGTGAGGAGGCCGGTTTGTCATGGTCCTCCAGGTTCTGCCCGAACATTCTTTACTCCATCATTTCAGTGAGACTTGATAGAAGATCCAGTCCTCGAAAAAAGATGGAACAAAAGCGCGATCTTTTGTGAACGTGACTGGTACGCACAGTTGCGATAGGACTTCTTCATACATCTTTAAAGACTCCGGACATGACGCGCCATTTCCCTATATACAAAAAAAACAATGTTAAACATTATGATTAAGTATCCTATATCAAGATTCCATATCTAAAATTTTATTGTTACAGTTTATCAATAAAATTAGTAAAAATAGAATAGAGGAGAATCATCTGCTGATCGCTTTCAATTAAAGTCGATTCACTTCATCGCATAAAAGATAAAGTTGAATACACTTTGAATTTAGACTCACATGCGTCATATACTTCCCAGTAGACTTCAACACCTTCATAGAAGAGTTGAGTATTAATCTAATAAAATCCCAGGCATCACCATGTGGCGTTGTACTAATAGGAATGTCTGTCAGATCGCCAAAGACGTAGTCGAATTTTCGTCCTTCTTCGATCATGTGGGCTAATGCTTTCACGCAATCGCCGACAATAATCTGTAAAGATTATTATTATTATTATTATTATTATATAAAAGAAAACACATTTAAATATTTAAAAATTTGGAAATTTTCGGCTTTTCAAATGCTAAAGATTCAAGAATCTTACTTCATAATTATCGCCCTTTCTCTTGTCTAGGCAGTCACCGCATATGCTCCGCATATGTTGACTACAAGCTTTCATGACGATGTCATCGATCTACAAGAAAGCATAAAAACCGAATAGCACATCGTGTTTCGCATAATCGCAGTAAAAAATTCAGCTCACATACTTCTAACATCGTGACGAATTTTGGTTTCTCCTTCAACAATTCCCACAATAGGCCGCCATCGCCACCACCAAGTATCACAATTTCCTTGCCAGCATAATTTTCTTTGCCTCGTTGCATCAGCGTTTCTGTATATATAAGATCCGCCTCGGACATATCTGCGAAGGAATTTCTGGTAAGTTGTAAATAACAGACAAAGTTATAACGTGATATGACTTACTTTGCAGCTCGTCGAGTACCAGCAGATTGCCTAGAGATTTGGAGTGCACAATTTGTACCTTCTGATACGGTGATCTAGCCTCGAACACGAGCTTGTCGATGTCATATTCCAGCAGTCGCTCGTCTTGAATAGGATAATTTTTATTGGCAATACTTGTCGCCATCCCGTAATAATGTTAACTTAAAAAGCATGCATATCTTTCTATACATGAAAAACATTGCGAAGAGTAGAGAAAACAAGGTATCGCAAGGCAAAGCTGATAAACACGCATGGGAACGTTAGCGTCATAACCAGATGAAAGAATGATGTGAGGAAATTGTAAAAGATTAACTATCAAAACTGGGCGTTTTGTCATGCAAGAACAGAACAAATAATGTCCTCGGGATTAACGCGGAGAGACTTTCCAGACTGAACCGAGCCGAACACAGGTTCTCATTTGCATATTACTAACGAGCAAGAAGTGTCTAGAATCATCGAGAAATCGCCAAACCTAAGTTTTAAATCAAATTTTAAATTTAATTAAACAGATTTACATGATTTATTTTCTCTTGATGACCTTTCATCTTAAGCGCTTCATCTAACATATTTTAGAACTTTTCGTAATTAGTAAATTCTACACTATATTGGAGGGAGCCAAGAAATGAGAGTCTTTACCGAAAAGAATATTTAGGAGCTGAAGAAACAAAAAAATATGAATAAAATACTTTTACAGTTTTAAATAAAATCATTTACAAGTATTTCTTTTTCAATTTGATACAACTTGATGGATAAAACAAGAAAAGACGATTTTAAAAATTTAAAAGCTATTTTAATTAATATTAATATTTAATTAACAAAAATTTAAAGAAAAATAAAATTTCAATTCATACGGATAATATAAATGTAAAAGAAGACATCTCTTTTTTTTTTCCACATTTGGATCACGGCTCTCGGTGGATTAGTGCAAGCAAAGCTCATTCTCCAGTATAGTACAGTACAACGCTCACTATTTGTAATATACTTTTTACTAAAGACAAAGCTGTGAGATGTGAGGACATTCATATATCTTTTCTTGTAATACTAACATTCACGAATCGATGCGTAATATTAATTTTCCAATCGAATCGAGTTCCTTAAGTACAAGCGGTTCCGTCGTAAGAGCGGTCGTTAGCTGGTCCGTAAACATAATTATAAATAAAAACTCACCGGCGGTAGGATAGTATCTCTCAAAGGGTCCACCGCGTTTAATCGGAGTAAGCGTGTGCGACCGTGTAGCGGTTGCCGCTGTCTGCAATGCCACTTCCAATTCTTTGGCCAACTACCATAACCGGCCACCACCACCACCATCATCATCATCATCATCATCATCATCGTGATCATCATCATCATCATCACCATCATCATTATCATCATTGTCATCATTGTCATCGTCATCATGATTATTATCATCACCATCATCATCACCATCATCATCATCATAATCATCATCATCATTATCATCAAGCCGAACCAATGAGAATTGAACAGAACAAAGACACTATCTTGTAAAACGGAATCGCTACACTCCTTGTTGTTAAGGAAGCTAAAAAAAGGTGTTAAGATCTGGCAAGCCATGATATATGGCAGGGCTTATTTTTGTCCAACAAAACGGTAACGTAACAAGCGATAAAAAAAAACGAATCGTGATAAAGGTATTAAGGTAATTGTGTCTGTGTATGATCGTATTATTGTAGTTTTCAGCCGTACGACTAAAAGTGACGATCCGATCCGGTCTACAAAATCTAACATCTCCATCACAATTCCCGGAATAAAAAATTTCTAAATTAATACATGGAAAAGGAGAATGAAATAAGCTATTGCGAAAGTAACAATTTACGTTGCTTCGTAGTTATAATCGTCGTAAAATTATATTACGCATGTTTTAACTGCATATAACAAAATCTTAGTTTTTAGCTAGCGTTGTGTTTCACGGTATGCAAACTCCAACAGAATCTTAATTTAATATATAAGAGAGAAAGAAAAATACAATAGAATTCAACGTATAATTGATAGCGTAAGCTACATTTATATCAGCTACTTGGATTGTTTTTTAATATTGAATCCACATTCTTGGATTTTCTAACTAAAGTAACGCTCCATGTATTGCAGCAGTCGCTGGGAACTTTTATTCGTACGACCAAGGGAAGACAAGAGAACAGTTACACAAGTAAATACAAGTTCAAATATCACGTATTAAATGGTCGAAAATTTTCTTTTATGAGCGAATCGAGTGCTGGGTAGAAAAATTTGGGCTGAACGTAACAGTGCTAGGAACAAAATTTTAAAAAGTTAGCATTCCTGGCAAGCGGCCTATCCTAAATATCTATTAGTGACAGTCAATAGCGACTCTCTATGCCAAGTATTCCACGATATAAATCTACAAAGTATGTAAAGTATGTAGTTGTGTTAGGAAAAGTAAACGAGGAACAAAATCTAATTGAGAGAAAGCATTTTCTACCTGATAGCGTCAGATAGAGGTCATATATGGTTCCTCGTCTTACTGGCGGTAAACGCTTGCTGCGCTGGCTGTTCAAAGCCATGGCAACATCAGCTTCCAAGTATCGCCACTGCTACAACGTTCTATCAGTTATGTCATATTTCCCACTTCCGTTAAAAAAAAGATGTACAGGATGTTAAGAAAAAAAGTTCAGGACACTAACAGGACACTTGGAAACTGAGTAAAAAATACTCGAAGATAAAATCGAAAAATAAATTTTTCAGCGTAATGTATACTTTTCATTTTCTAAATGTAACAATTATCTTATCATTAGGATAAGATAATTCTTTATTTACAGATTATATTTGAATGTGTTTTTCTATGTTATAAGATTCGCTTTATCGCATGGCACATTGTTACACAACTAGTTTTAAAACCAACATACAGTCTCGTTTCAACCTTTTTTTCATTTACATAAATAATTATAACTTGTTTCTAAAAATAATCATAATTAAATCTAGTCCCAAAACGTTCGTTTTAATTAGAGAAAGAGAGAGAGAGAGAGAGAGAGAGAGAGAGAGAGAGAATAAATGAAAACTAAACAAATGATAATCTTATTTGCTTTATCTTAGAATTGTTAATCTTCAAAAACTCACGGATGACATGAAAAAGTTATTCAAGTTAATTAGCTGGTAAGTTAAACTCGTAACTATGCAAAAAGAACCTTGTATAAGAATCAATATCACATGCATTTTGCATCTAAATATAAATTCGACGAAATTATATGACTATTAAGTCTTGATAAAAGCAAATCTCGCTTTTAGTAAACTTGTTAAAATCATTATTAATTTGAATGAGATCAAATTCTCAAATTATATAAATTAAATATTTTTTACTGACTTTGATAAGAACGAATCCATTTTTTTCGTCTTGAACCTTTTTCTTGAACAACATATACTTGACTATTTTACTCCAGCTTTAAGTTTCATCACTTAAAGATTAATGTGTTAATTGTAATCATAATCATAATTTCTAACGAAAAACTCATATTTGTTATTTTTTCTTTCTCTCTGAGAATTGACAAGTTCTTACATGATTCATTCATTTTTTTCTTTATATATGCATTAATTAAAAGACTTTGACGAAGGATTTGTAAAACCCTGCCTAAAAGGGTAAGTAGTGTTTCTCAAAAGCACACTAGCGTTTGTTTTTAAATGTTAACATCTATAGTTTTCATCAAATTACTTATCAAATCAATGTATACATACCTCGAAAGTTAAGAGTGCCTCCTGGTCATCTTGCTTGTAATACTCGATGTTTAACGTGATCAGACCCTCTGTGTACCCTCTGACAGTGATCAGACTGCCCCTGGGACCGGTATATAAAACGAGCAAACTGCCGTCGATGTTCGATTCTGTCAGTGGTTTGAGACCGGTAAAATGTTCCGCCAGTACATTCGCAATCGCCGATTTCAAACCCGACCGCTTCTCCATGTCGGCAATTACGCTACTGGACACGGTGAAGTCCAGAAGTACGGTATGGGCCACCATAGTTTCTGGAATGCACGAATATAGATATAGGCTACCAAGTCCCCGAGAGAAAAAGCGAGCGAGCAAGAGAGAACGAGAGAAAGAGAGAGACAAAGAAATCAATTCATCTTGTTACATTCATCAAAAGCCTTGTGATGTAAGTAATAAATTATACCGCCAGTTATAGGCTACGACAGCTTTAACGTATCAAATAAAACTTTTATCTCTTTTACATATAGTGCATACATATAGTGTGTGTGTGTGTGTGTGTGTGTGTGTGTATATATATATATATATATTCTTTTTTATAATAAAGTCCGGTGTGTAGAAAAGCTAAAGGTTAAACGCGACGGTTAGCGCGGTGATGGCGTGACGATGGCGTGATATGTCCTTAATGTCGGCGCCGAGGGAAACACATTATATAATTAATTCTTTCGAAAAATATCATGTTAGTGGCGTAAAGTGCTACGTAACGGATATCCTGTGTGACTCGATTGACGATCGGCGGGATGACTCATTAGCCGCCGGTCATTCGCTTGTTTATACTCACGTATTTATGCGATAAGATTTACTGCTCGATCCGTTCAGGCGTATGCCAGTGTGTTGCTCTTAAGCGTCAAGGGATGACGTATGCACGCACTAGCACAAAATTGCGCAGGTTATCGGGTGCGCACGATGATCTCGCGTGGTAGGAGTTATCATCTGGAGGCTCCGAAAATGTCCTTCGATTCGATTAATATCGGCGCAGATCGATTTGTATCGATATCGCAATGTATCGCGCCCCGCGATATCTCGACAATTCAAATGTGCGATTCGAAAAGCGCGGGACGAGTTTATATATGGCCTCCTTCATTAATTATCCGTATTATACGATATCGAACGTAAATTCGATCGTGAAGACTCGATTAAAGAGACGACGAGGCTTCTGAATTGATGAAGTATTACTAGTAATTGATGAATTTTGATGTAATGAATTCGAAAATAACATAACTGTGGATATATAAAAAAAGATATAGATGTATTTAAAAAATGCAGAGCGATATACAAATAAAAGATTTAATTAATGGATTTATTTTGGGATCCATTGGAACTTATATCACTAAAGTACTTATTCTATTTTACCATTATTTTTATTCTCTCCCACGAAGACGAATATATCTGTATATTCGTGTGGTGAAACAACTATTTAATAAAGTATAAAGAATGTGTGAATAAAACTAAAAACATTGCATAAGAATTTTTACATTTTCCATTAAGTAGGCTTAATCATACAAAGTTACAATTGGCGTATAATCAACAAATGCATATTACAAAATGCATTTGAAAGTGCTGTGTGGATATCGACTGCTTTACTATTGTTCCTCCGTGTAATTAAATTCTTCCTGTAACAATATATTGCAATTGTTCTTTTTTTTCTCTTTTTTTCTCGTGTGATATCCAAAATGTATGATATCCAATGGAACTGTCACTAATCGATTGAAAAATAATAAAAATAATAAATGCAGTGATGTAACACATGTAAAACATTTATTATTTTCTGTAAATCTATCAAAACATTGTAGAAATCAGATAAAGAATTACAAAAGACAATAACTTAATAAATTGCATACAATATATAGGTTTCCATTATATCTTCATTATAAATCAATATTAAATGATTTTATTTACGCTTCCTAATTTTATCATTCGGAATCGTGATATTTTTCTGAGTTCTTCACTGCTATCACGCTATTCTCCTTTTTTTCCACAATTATGCCACTATTACGTGCTTAAGTTTTATTTAATGATACTTTAACAGTGATTATAAACTATCTGTCACATTACCCAGATACATTCATATAAAATAATATGAAATAAATTATGTATGATTCAAGTGCTATATCATTCGTATACCTTCATTGCGGCTTTAAATCCCAGTGTAACAAGTATCCCGAGGCCGAACACAAGAAGATACGGTAAATACTTTATACCAAATAAAGCAGGTCTTTTCTTTATTAATTGTTGAAGCATGATCAGATTTTTCTCAGAATACGGCGGAAAACGGGCTCTGAAAAATATATTTTCTTTCTTGTATTAAAAATCTAAAATATTGACTAATAAATTGTTGAAAAATGTAGTATTCTATCATTTATAATGCACAATTATTTGTTTATATAAAAGAATTACTTACTTGGCTATGATTTCTGCAAGTTTGTTGTAATTTCGAATCAAACAACCTTTGTTATGTGTGAAGGTATCAAATGTATATTTTCCGTGGTAAGCTCCCATACCGGAATATCCTATTCCTCCAAAGGGTATAGTCTCAACTAAAAAAGTAATAATAAGAATTATAGAACAGAAAAAATAGCCTGATATTAATTCTTGTTATGTTATAAACACATGCTTATATCTTTTGTCTGTTAGTTTCATTTATTATTTATTTACATTTTAATCTAATTAAATCTAGTTATAAATACATCATTAATTAAATATTAGATGGAATATATAGGATTTCTCATTAAATAATTAGAGATAATTAAAAATAAAGTCTTCAATGAATCTTGAGGATAGGATAATTTTTAAAATAATAAATTAAAGTTTGCCTTTTATAAGCTCTTTTCGTAAACGTTCAAATTTTCATAAATATAGAAACATAGTATATATATATATATATATATATATATATATACCATATCCTCAACATTCATTCACGAATAAATATTCGATTTTCATTGTTACTTATTAAGTATTTTTACGATTAATAAAAAGGCAGTACATGCAAAATGTAACATCATTAAGCGATAAAATAAAAATAGAAAGCGTATATTTTCGCAGCATGCTTATTAATGTTCATTATATTGCAACACGATTAAAGAATCACAATGCATTTACTATAATGTAAAACGATAAAAATAATGTCTTTTGAAAAAAAAAGAAATCAAAATATTTACAACAATTTATAACAAACCATTTTACATGTTGTTTACATTGTTGTAAGAAAAACTACCTGTTGCATGTAATACCGTATCATTGACAAGTACAGCCCCACTAGACGTATTATTAATGATCAATGATACAGTTTCTTCTTTCTGGCTAAATATATACAAAGCTAATGGCTTCTCCCTGTATGTCAAATATTAATGTAAAAATGTCAGTATTATTTTTTGTGAAATGTATTGAGCGCATAAATATGCAGGTGCACATATGCGCACATATATGTATATGTATATGTGTGCATGTATATGTATGCATATGGATATGAATACGTATGTATGTGTTTGCTCGCGTGAGTGCGTTTCGTATGATTACTCTAATACATTGTATATCATCAAATTTGTACATCATTAATAATATATGAGCCCAATTTTTCTTCCGAATATCAATTTTATGTTAGCAACTTATTCATAGATATTTAATTCTGTAATATAACCACCACCATTTTCAGGTTCATTCCATTATTTAAATAGCAATTTGAGAGCATAGAACGAAATCCGA